CCCCCGCCCCGAATGACCGAATTTTCAAATCTTTTATTTAAATAGAAAGTATTTGTTTATATCAAATGGCAGGCGTCTTGATGGTTATCATTAGTCCTTTAGTTGACTTCAGGCTTCACAGAGGGGAAGGAACATCAAATTGAAAAAGTTGAGAGGGGGGAACAGAAGAGTGTTTCAAAGATGTAAGAGACAAACACAAAGGTAGAATAAAGGTGAGGTGAGTACTGTGAAAATATTCGAATATGGCATAGAGTGAGGTGATAGTAGTTTGAAGTGAGAAGTCAACTGCCAGTCAATAGACTTTTTTGCCGTATTAATATACGTTGCCCAGGGTGTACCACGTGGAGGTAAGTCTATCGCACACCCCTAAATAGAATGTAATGATGGGGATTTTTTCTTTTCACGAATCTTATTTGCTTTGTTCTTAGAACTAATGGAAAAATTGCATTTGTCTTTCTTGCAGGATGCTAGATTCGACAGTGAGGTCGACGTAATGACTGGTTACCATACTCGTTGTTTAATTTGCATGCCAATTAAAGACGGGGAGGGGAATGTTCTGGCTGTAGCCCAGGTCATGAACAAACAGCAAGCTGGCATCGAGAATGCAAACCTCGTTTTCTCTGCTCAGGATGTTAGCCTCTTCCGAGCGTATACTAATTTCTGTGGAATTGGTCTCTATCAAGCGAAAATTCTCTTCAGAAGTCAGCTGGAAACTCGTCGCAGCCAAGTAAATTATTATTTTCCCTTTTCATAATCATAAAGTGGTTCACAAATATTGTCTCGCGCAAGATATATGTCCAGAAGAGACATTTTAGTAGGAATTGCCCGAGCACCAATTATTATTTCGACAAATTTTCGTTTATAAATTGCAATATCAAGTGCCCTTTGAAAAGAAACGTGGTGTAATAGGAGTTAGATACAATCGCGTGTATATAAATTTATTTTACATTTGAACCCAAGCCTCTCTGCCACATATTCCTGCAAACGGTGTGTGATTAAAATGGAGGGGATTGCGATTACCTATGTAAATTTAAGTGTCTTGGCACAAATACTTTCCAATATTTTAGAATGTAATATATTGTGGCAGGCTTGTTGGTGTTTAAATCTCTGCAAATCTCTTGTTTAAATGTGTTTTTAAATTCGTTGGGGTTGGTGGGGGGTGTTTATCATGGCGCTTATCAGTTAAACTTGGTGCGCATTTTTATATTGCATAACGCGTTTTTTGCACTTTTAAGAAATTATCCTTTCATATCTTCGTTATTTTCGCGTCTTTTCTTTTTTAATTTGATTGCAAGCAAAAATAGGGGCTGTTTTTAATGTCTTTAAAAGGCGTTATCACCATGGATATAACGTGTCGTCATTTATTCAATCTTGTTTGCTCACTGAAATTATGGTGAATTCAGATTAGAGGCTATTGTTGGTCACTTATTGACGATTTTCGTTTATAGCTTGTGAAAAAGTTAGCTGGGACCATTTAAATTTCTTAAGTTTTTTTTTAAATTATCCCAAGAGAACATAAACAGTGACCCACTACTATCTTTGCGTTGGTATTTTTAATAAATGCAGCTAAAATTGGACGAAAATGGATACTTGAATTGAATTCAAAGTTCTTTTTTTCCCTAGTTTGATTGGTATGCATACAACAGCTGATATGTCAATGATCTGAGATAGGATCTTGCGAAATTTGAAAGTTTATCCGGTTTCTATGTAGGTCGGATTGAAGTTGATGTCATTTGCCCTAAATTTCTTTGAATCCAATTTGTGCATAGCATTGAAGGCTATTGGATCAAATTGATAGAAGTATGCTGATGCTGGTCGATATAAACCAGATAGACTTTCATCTGAGACGAATTTTAAATTCGAAATTCCTGTGAGGAGTAGTTGATGTACCTGGGCTTATTCATCCTACTCTTGGATGGTTGTGGTCTGCTTGCTTGGAATTGAATTTGAATTATAACAATTTAAAAGCTTGGAAAATTGAAATTCGATTATGGTAGGCATTAATTTATATTAAGGGATTTTATTTTTAGGCGTTCCCTAAGTAGGTTCTAAACTAAAAAACCGTAATTGGTCATAAATATTTTTAAAGCTTTTCTTTAATTTCCCACTTATAATTTTCTGAGACTGAATTATAAAGCTTTTTTAAGAAGAAAACTAAATAATTAATAAATTATGTAGCTGTCGGGACAGTAGTTTTCCAAATATGTTCAAATCATTTAATTCGTTTGTTTAAATTAAATCCAATTTGAACAAAGATGTCTGCTTTTAAAACCGAAAAAATTAAATTATGTAGCTTTTGTTTATTACACATTTTCACCAGGTTTATTAAATATCTCGTGAAAGTTAAATTGTGCTTATTTAGGTTTCAATAGCTGACAATCTTAATAGTGAAATATTTCAACAGAGAATATCCTTTATAAGTGGAAGAATGCCTTGCAAATATCCCGCAAACTAAGCCTTGCTTAAACCTTATCAACCCTCTGGGAACTCAAAATGGCCACAGACAAGATTAACCAAATTTGGATGTTTATTGCTGCTCATAGAATGGGCTGGAGTGCTTCCACGTTAGCGTGAAAGCAGTAGGAAGAAAAAGAGTTAACGTCGAGTGCGGCAATGCTTAATTCACAGACGAACTTCACGTCGAATGTAGTTCCAGATGGAACGGTGAGTAATAAGCTTAGTTTCTGAATCAATGTCTGAGAGCGATAATCCATGAAGGGTCTCGTCTTGTCAAAAAATCAAGAAAAAAATTTGCTATCACAAGTGATTAAAGATAGGCATTCGAAGCGTAGCAGGGGTTTGAATGTGTTTTTTTCCCTCGAATTTTGGATCGAATTTTTGATTTACTTCAAGTTGCTGAAAGTCCAGATGTGTTGAGACGAGTTGGTTGATATCCATACCGAACATTACATCGACAATAATAATTGGTAAAGCCATCAGAGCATCGAATTTGATTGTGGAATTGCAAAATGAGGACAGGCTGACAGAAATGCTTAGGCAAATATTGATCAGCGGAAGCTCAACTATCATAAATTAGGGGTTTGTGTTTAGTGAAGATGTTGAATTTTCGTCCTTCTTAGATACGCTGAAAGCGTTTATTGTCTAATTAGCTCTCCAGTTGTCCTCTACCAAATGTGCTCTTCTTCAGAATTGCAATAAGCTCGATGACAATTTAAGTTACTAGCAATTAAAGTAATATAATAGAATTATAACTGTTTTATATCTATAATTTGCAAAAATAACTATTATTAGCGCTGTTATTATGTTGATAAGCAGTAATTACATGCTATTGCTTTCGATAAAATGGGATTGCAAGCATCTTTCTTGTTGAAAATTCTTCTTCAAAATGAAAGCTAAATAAACATAAATTCAATGAAATGACGATTACTTGAAAACATTTGTAATCACAGTGAAGTTATTTCTTCATTCGAGAATGTCAATTTCTTTGAAGAATGGCTTCTTTCTTCATTAGTAAATTTTGGCATGCTAAGGTCATCTACCGTCTTGCTTTGCTTTCCATTAGGAAACAGTTATACTTTCTGAAAACGATATTCATCTTGCCACGGGTAATTACAGTTCAAAGGTGGCCTTCAGCCAATGTTTATATTCAATAAACGAAGAGCCTTTTGTCACTTCTTTTATAAGTGAGCTTTTCTAAAATTTGTATTATTACCTCTAGTTGTATTACGTAACCTAGACGCCGAAACTACTAGTGAGATGCTTTGTCTTTACTGAATATATAATTCCTCTTACTCACAATCGGCTGTTCTTTCATGCAATCAAAGAAGTTTAATGGTTTATAGAGAGTTAGCACATGGGCTATGATTTTGATCGTCGATATCTCTCTTCCATGTGCAATTTTACAAATCAAGCACTAGAATTTTCAAAGTCAGGAGAAAGAATTTTGTTAAAAATTAGTGCGAGTTCTGATCAAGTCTTTGATAACCTTGGTATTTGTTAATTTCACCTTCTAAAATCATTAAGACAGATTTGCTGTCTGACAATGATGATATCTTTGGACGGTGTTAACAGTCGCTAGCCATGAATCCTATGTCATTTTCATCTTTTGCCTAGGGTACTGGTTAATTACTCAATTCAGCTTTTCATATCATTTTTTAAGGCTTTTACCATACACCACATCTGATATATTTGGACAATGGCTTTTAATGGCTTTTCGTAGGCACAGAAATTAAATTATCCACTCTCTGTAATCATTAAAGGCGCTCTTAAAGTCTAGACAGTTCATTATAACTCTCCCAAATAGTCTGTACACCAAAATGGTTTTTTAAGTATTTGAATATGTTTATATAATACCATCAATGATATTAAAATTCTTATCAAATTTTTTTTTGAGGGGGGGAAGATAGGCTAAATGATGTATGTTATTATTCATTTCGCGTTAATTCAATTGAGAATGCTACTCCTATTTTTAAGGAAGACTAATGACTTGTATCCTTTTTTTTCGAAATTGGATCGCAGTAGTATTGGAAGTGGTCCAAATTACTTTTGGGTACCGGGGTGTGTGATAGACTTACCTCCACGTGGTGCACCCTGGGCAACGTATACTCATACGGCAAAAAATTCTATTATTCGGCAGTTGACTTCCGACTTCAAAACATCATCACCTCATTGTATGTCATATTTGACTACTTCCACAGTACTCACTTCACCTTTTTCACTCTACCTTTGTGTCTGTCTCTTTTACATCTTTGAAGCACTCTTCTGTTCCCCCC